AATAATAAAGGATTCAGTTTTCATAATTTAAAAAGGTAATAGTTAAAATGAATCTAAAATAGATCTAGTTGTCAATAAAGACAACTAGATCTATTTTAGACTGTTTAAATCAATAGGTGGAGTGGATTTTGCTATTTGATTTGAACAATAGAATAGTGAGAAAAAGACAGTGTATAAAAAGGATATTTAAACCCCTCAAAGATGTAAATGAAGTTTTTACATTTATAAGAAATAATTTAAAAATATTAAACAAAACAGACTGAAATAAAAAATATTACTTTGAAAAAGAACAAATTAGAAACATTTTAATTATGTTTTTAGTAGTTTTCCACAATAGGTGCTAGAAAGTAATATAGGAATAGCTTTACAATGCTAGAAAGAAAATACCTGTCAACCTATAACTACTATCCAAAAGTGAAGGAAAAAAATAAAGACATTTTCAAACATAAAAGGACCAAGAGAATTTAGCATCAGTAGATTCCCAATAATGTAAGTATTAAACAATATATTTAAGCAAAAACAAAGCAAGTTATTTGTGATATAAGAAGTAAGAATTAGAAAAAATTGATAAAATATCGATAAATTTAGTCATTTATTGATAGTAAGCTTAAAATTCTCATGTCATTTTTAAAAAGTGAAAATGAAACTATACAGCTATAACAATATTGGAATATAAATAAGGCTCATTAAGAGTATTGAGTTCTTTATTTCTTTTGGGAAGATCAAAATATGAGATGCCCTTAGGATATGTAGGAAATATGAATAATTAAGTATGCATGTTAAAATTTCAAAGTTGACATTAAATAATAGAAAATGTACATCATTCAGAAAAAAAGAAAAAGGCAACTATAAAATCTTTATCAGTACAAAGAAGGCAGAAAAAGTAGAAAAGAATGCAAAGAGAGCAATAAGTATACAATAACACGAGAGTAGAAAAATATCTAAAATATATTAATAATCACAATATAGGAAACAGATGACACTCACTTATTAAATGGTTTTGCAGACTATAGAATATGTAAAACTTGATAAAATTCTACAAACTAGAGAAACATCTAAAGCAATACCACACAGAAAGTTAAAAATAAAATAAAAAAGTATACAACCTAAATAGTATCAAAAGAAAGCAAACTAAAGGCAAAAACAAACAAGCATGAATAAAGGTAATGAGGGACATTTATAAGAATGATAGACACTGTTCAATACACTGATGATAAATTTGCATACTCCAAAGAACATTTCTGTGAACAACATGAAACAAGAACTCATAAATATTACATAGAAATGGACAAAAGCACAATCAATAAAAAAAGGTTTTCAGCAAACTGTAGTAGAACTAGTTAAATCAGATATAAAAATTAGGAATAGTGTAGAATATTTGATAAGTAAAATTAACAAGCTTGATCTAATGGAAATATCCATTTCAAATGCAACCACAGATAGAAATATACAAGGTAGGACCTCCCCCCAAAAAAACCCTGGAATCATCTTTTGGAAGGTGGGCCTTTTATGGTACTCTTGGAATTTGTTCCTCCAGATCAGTCAACCCAAATTTTTATCTGAAAGTTTTGAGAAAGTTGAGTCATGATTTGTGAAAGATATGTCCTAAGGTGTAGCAAACACGTGATTGCTTCTTCCACCATGACAATACACCTGCCCACACCACGCAGAGCAAATTTGGATAAAAAAACGGCATGACTCCCGTACCTTACCCTCCCTATTAGCCAGATCTTGCACCAGCAACTTTTTTTTGTTTCCTTGGATGAAAAAAGTCCTCAAAGTGAAATGCTTTACTGATGGGAAAAGGTGAAACAAAAATGGTAGAAGCATTAAAAGGCATCAAAATTAATGAATTCAAAAAGTGTTTTGAGCAGTGTAAAAAGCATCTCGATAGGTGTATTGCATTCAAGGGAGAATACTTTGAAGGTGACTGAAGTTTAAACATGTAAGGATAAATACACATTTTTATGAATAAATTCCAGTGTTTTGGGATCCCCCCTCATACATTATTTCAAACTTGTATAGGATGTTTATGAATGAAGAAAGAGACAGAGAGAATGAAAAAAAGGTTGACCTATTCAGTAAAGAATGCTGAAACAACTGGATACTCAAATGGGAAAAGAAAATTGGATTTCAACCTAATACTATACTCAAAAATAATAATAAAATGAAATGTAAAAAGCAGGACTCTAAGAAAATGCAGGAAAATATATAAAATATCTTGGAAGCATTTCTTAAGTAAGGTTAAACAGCACAAATTATAGAAGAAAATATCACTCATTTTGACATTAAAATTTAAAACTGTTGTATAGCAAAGGGTATTATAAACACAGTAATATAATGAACTGCAGACTCCCTGAAGATTATTAGAGAATTCTTATTCAGAATATAAAAAGAACTACTATATATCAATAAAAATGTACAAAAATTAGAGAAATGGGAAAAGTATATGGACCAACAAATTATAGGAGAAGAAGCCTGAATGGCCTGAGGTATAAGAATATACTTAATTTTAATAGTCATTGGGGAAATACAAGTTAACACCACGATGATATAGTACTTCATGCCCACCAAAAATTAAATAGTCTGACAATATCAAATCGTGCCAAGATGTGGTGGGACAGAACACTTTGCAAAACCAGGACAAGTGTAATTTGCATCACCCCCTATGGAAAATGATTTAACATTATCTAGAATAGCTGACTTGGTACACTCCCTGTGACTCAAGCAAGGCTTACACTCCAGGGCACTCTTGAGTTAAATGTGTGCAAAAACATCTGTTTCTGCACTGCTAGTATCAGCAAAACAATGGCCCATATGGTAGAGTGGATAAATAAATAAATACTTTCATTCACTGAAGTGTTGTCAAAAGTTTTAGTGCTTTACCAACTAAAGGATATTGAATTCAATGTCAGACGACTAGGGGGAGAAGTCCTACCTTTGCTACCAACTGTTGATATGACCTTGGGCAAGTTTCTGAACCTTCTTGACTCCTAGTTTCCTTGTGAGAGGTTTGGACAGTACTTGAAAAATCTTTCAATCAGAATACCCCATGGAAGTTTTAGATGTGCACATGCTTGTACCCCTTCTCAGACCTACTGCATCAGGGTATCCAAGGTGTGGACACCAGGTCAGTGGTTTCACTCTCTCTGGGGGAGCCAGGCGGCTTACGTCTGAATTTCCTTCACAACAACTTTTACAAATACAGCCTCTCATTCTTCCTGTTTCAGTTTTCTCTTTTGAGTTGTGGGTAGGTCTGACAATTCCCAAGTCTATCTTTTAGTCAAGGAGCATTCTGGAAGTAGAAACCTCCTTGGTAATGCCCCTATCTCCGTAGGGCAAGAAGTTTCACTTACCCAGATAGGAGGCTGTATAGTTCTTGTAGTTAAGAGTGTGCACTCTGGAGTCAGATTGGGCTCAAATCCCACCTCTCACTATTAGAAGTTGTGTAACCCCAGAGAGTTATCTTATCTGTGAAATATAACGGGACAGAAGGTAACTTCTAGGGTTGTTATGAGGATCAAATGAGTCAATATATGCAAAGTGTTTTAAAAACTCTGGAACATATTAAGCATTCCATAACTGCTAGCAATTATCATCAAAACTCCTGAGGACAGGAAGGGACAAAATAGAGAGTAGGATGAAATACTTTCATGAGCTCTGAAGTCTATGGGCATTGTTGGCTTGCTTTTTTGAGTTTCTGGAGCAAAATATGGGAGAAAATTTGCAGATGTATAACACTGTAATCCTCTCTGCTGTAGCTCTCTCAGAAAGATTTAATAAAGTTGCACATTTTACATCTACCACAGCTGAACTTCCAGGGTAGGGGAATTCCAGTGAACTAGATAATCCCCAAATTGCTCAAAATCCACTTGTTGAAAGCCCCATTTATTATGTTTTTGAGTCAGGGTCTCACTCTGTTGCCCAGGCTGATTCAGTGGCATGATCACAACTCACCACAACTTGGGCTTAAGAGATCCTTTTGCCTTGGCCCCCTGAGTAGCTGGGACTTCAGGCACACGCAACCAAACAAGACTAATTTATTGGGTTTTTTTTTTTTTTTGTAGAGGCTGATCTTGAGGCCCTGGACTAGAGCAACCCTCCTGCTTCAGCATCTCAAAGTGGGAGATTACAGGTATGAGCCACCATGCCCTACCTGAAAGTACCATTTTAAAAAAAGTTTCTAGTTAGGTTGTGGTTTTAACTGTAGAACAAAGACATTATTCCTGTTATCTCTTTACTTACTGTGGTAATTCTCAGTATTTTACAATTTATAGGTTAAAAAAAAAAATTCACCTTCTGAGTTCAAAATCCCACCCTGACACTAATAAGCCATGTCTAATTATAGTGCGAAAATAGTTACATAATTTAAACTTTATTCTCTCTTTTTAAGTTTGAGAAATTTTTCAACACCCCTCAAGATAGCTAGAGGTACATAGCTCATAAATTTTTTGGAGATTTGGGTAAGGCTTGACATAAAAATATGGTTGACCCGGGTAATCAGGCAGAGTGCTTTTTGATCTTTATTTCTCATGAATTTCTGGATGCTGGCACCAAGTCTTTTAGGAAGAACAAATAAAATCATAAGACAGTTTGTTCTCAAATCAGAGTTCTTCAGCTACTGTCCTCACCTCCAGTCTCATGTCCATTCCTTAGGTGGAAGAATTTAATAAGCAGAACAAACAGTGATGAAAAGACACTGAGTGTGGGCTCAGCTTGGGTCCTAAGGAAAGGACTTTACCTTCAAGAAGACATATTAGAAATATGTCCTTATACATCTATAACCTGTATGCACAGAACAAGCATCTTGAAATATTTTTAAAGGGTGGAAATAAAAATCTCAAGTGCAGCAAGAATAGATAAGGAATATTTACAGAGTGACCAAGTGTGAACTTTCATTATTGACTAATGAATCTCACTGATATCAGGTATGTGGTTGGATCTCAATCCTGATAAAGGGGTTTGCTTGGGTGTGTCCAAGATATAGACATGGATTTTTTCAAAGTGATCATTTGGAAAAGAGATTTCCACACCTTAAAACCAATATAAAAGGTAGAAGCTGCACTGGCCAGCTTCACTTGGCTCCAGCACCTTCTTCCCTTCAGGCAAAATGAAAATCCTTGTGAGTACTTGTTTCTGCTTCTCGTTGCTCTTGCGGTGACTGCTTGCAGAGAATGCTCATATTCTGGGCTCTTGGATACCATGTGCTTCTAAACTTCTGCAATTGAATTAATGATATCTCTGGCAGGAATAGTGTCAAATTAGTCAGATATTTACTTGTTTATTGTCTATTTCCTGAGATGTTTTCTTAAAAAGTGCAAATTAAGCCAGGTGCCTGTAATCCCAGCACTTTGGGAGGCAGAGGTGAGAGGATTGCCTGAGCTCAGGGGTTCGAGACCAGCCTGAGCAACATGGCGAAACCTTGTCTCTACAATAAATAAAAAAAATCAGCCAGACATGGTGGTGCATGCCTGTGATTCCAGCTTCTTGGAAGGTTGAGGCAGAAGGATCACCTGAGCCCAGCAGGTGGAGGCTGTGGTGGCCATGAATGTGCCACTGCACTCCAGCCTGGGCAACAGAGTGAGACTCCAACTAAAAAGTAAAAAGAGAAAAGAAAATATACAAATTAATCACTTTGGAAATATCTAAAGAATTTTGATTTGAAGAATGTTCAATAATAATTTATTATGAGTTTTGCAGGGAATAAAGGCAAATTAAAACAACTATTTATTATCTATGAGAGAAGAGGTAATTGTAAAAAATAATATTGGTGGTATTAATAATAGCAACTATCATTTCCTGAGCGTACACGAAGCTCTAGGCTAAGCAGTTCACACGAATAATCTTACCTATTCATTGCAACAACTATATGAGCTGAATAGTATTGGTTCCATTTCATAGACAAGGAAACAGAGGCAAAGAGGAGTGTGATTTTCCCAAGCCTATATATATATATATATATATATATATAGGATTTAGAATGCAATCTATCCATCTGAGTACCCACTTACAAGCAAAATCATGACAAAATTTAGGCAGCCAGAGAATCATGGCCAAATTCTCCCTTAAGACAAAACATTCCTTCCCATTCTTCCATCTGATTCCAGCTTCCTTAGTTCCACATCATAGTGCCACATGGAAAATGGTCTATGTTCTAATCCCTAACCCCTTGCCCCAGTCTCTGCCCTTTATTCTCATCCAGTTGCTGAGGGAGAAAGCAAAATGTTAAGTACCTCCTATAAGGTGTTAAAGGCTGTCATCTTAAAGATTTTTACCTCCCAGGAGTCTCTTGATTTTCCAGGATTTTTCTAACCCTGAAACACAAACTTATAACCATGGTATTTTGATCACAGTGTTGAATGGGAGACTATTTTAGAAAACACTTCCTGAGCTCTCTCTAATCATGCCATGAAGGTGATCAATCCTTCATCTACTCTCTCAAATCTCTATTTTAGACTCATTAAATAGAATATACAGGAGCATCAGAGATTACTAAAGCTGGTCTAGGGCAAAAGAAGATGTGTCCCTATGCAAGTAAGCAGGTTAAGTATATGCATATAGGTCTTGGTTAGATACTTTACCCCCAGTCACCAGGAGAAAAATGCTAGTGGTGGGATGGTTAGGGAAGTAAACAATCCCAGTGACATTTCTTAAAAATGTCTGCACCATCCCCCAGACCCTCTGAGGCTGAAATGAGTGGATTGCCTGAGCCCGCGGGTTTGAGACCCACCTGGGCAGGCAAGACCTCATCTCTACAATAAATCAAAAAAATCAGCCGGGCGTGGATGGCTGAGGTGGAAGGATCGCTGGAGCCCAGCAGGTTGAGGCTGCGGTGGCCGGGAGTGGCCACTGCACTCCAGTCTGAGCGACAGAGTGAGACTCCAACTCAAAAAAAAAAGTAGTTTTCAATGGTAGTGCAGTGTACTATGATGTTCAGAACAGTGGGCTCAAAATCAGGGTTAGCTTGTTGGGTCAGGCTCATATAGCTATATAGAAAAATAGCAGAATTGCTCAATGTCAGTCTTATGACCTGCTGATCCAGCACTTGTCTGATGGTATCACTAAGGCATGGATTGTAGAAGAATGTGGAGGCTTTCTTTGATGTAGCCTCAAAAGTTAATTGCATTCCCAAGCATTCTACTTTCAGTTTTCCTTAGAAAAGGAAGTGTCTCTATCACTTGTGAATTCAGTTTAAATGTTTTACCCTCTCAGTCTCAAAGAATTTAAGATGTTTTAAAATCAAAGGACACAATTTGACCACTCTGATCTAAAGCTATTGTGAATCATAACAGAGTATTTCCATAGTAAAATGAATCCTTCTTCACTGTTCACTTGTCCCAAGTTTCTCCTGCTATCTAAATGGTTATAATGTGAAAGAGTTGAGAATTCGGTGGTAAACATAAAAACTTTTGTCTGACAAATAGCATGAACCCAGCAAATTCCTGTTAAGCGAATGAACATGTATGCTTCACACTTTGGAAATGAACTGTTGACCATCCATGACCACTTACCAATGTCTCTAGGTGTACATTTTCTGGTATATTTGCGCTTTTCATGTCCGATGTCCCACTTTCATCCCCACCCTCAATACTACACTACAGAGAATAAATGACTATACTATAGAGAATAAATGTTACTGGTCTGTTTTTTAGGTGGCATTTCTGGTGGTGCTGGTCATCTTTGGGATAGAATCTCATGGATATGAGGTGAGTTGGTTCCTTGTGCATTTTATTTCTAGGAGTTGTTGAGAGAGGAAAGGAAAGATACAAGATAATCTGAAAAACAGTAGAAAGTCCACATGCCCTAGTTGGGATGGAATCTCAGAAATAACCAATAACAGAAACAATTGAGGTTGGTTATTTTGCTCCAACCACAATGTAGTCACAAATGTAACCCACTGCTATAAAATGTGGTCAGTCTGATTTTTCCTGTGATGTCATTGCTTCTTCGGTATGTAATTTTGCATAAGAAACTATAAGGAAAAGCTTCGACTCTTTGTTGTTGCTGTTTGGTTTTGAGACAGGGTCTTACCCTCAGCCAGGTTGGAGTGCAGTGGGTGTGATCATGGCTCACTGCAGCCTTGACTCCCTGGGCTTAGACAAGCCTTCTGCCTCAGCCTCCTGAGTAGCTGGGACTACAGGCATGCACCACCATGCCCGGCTTATTTAAAAATTTTATTTTTGTAGAGATGAGATCCCACTGTGTTGCCCAGGTTGGTCTTAAACTCCTGGGCTCAAGCAGTCCGCCTGTCTTGGCCTCCCAAAATGTTGGGATTACTGGCATGAGCCACTGCACCTGGCCAAGCCTTGCAGTCTTATTGTAGCAAGGGCTTTTGTCCTGGGATCCCCGTGAAGAGGTTTGGACTGCCAATTCCTTATCATAGCAGGTAGAAGGCTTTATTTTGTTGGATGAGTTGTCTTTCAAATGTGTAAGATTTATGGGGAAAAAAAAACATTATGTCTTTGTTGCCAATCTAGGTTTATAACATCATCAGCCCAAGCAGCAATGGTGGCAATGTTCAGGAGACAGTGACAATTGACAATGAAAAAAATACCGCCATCGTTAACATCCATGCAGGATCATGCTCTTCTACCACAATTTTTGACTATAAACATGTAAGCAGCAAATGAATTTTTATATTCTTCAAGACTGGTTTTCTAAAGGACAGGGAGACAGCCGTTTATTATACATTGAAATTCTAAGATTTATCCTTGTGAATCTTTAAGAATTTCCTCTTTCACTTTTCACTTTAAATAATCAAGCAACTGATTGAAAGACAAGAAAAAAACCACTTCTAAGGAAAAAATATGACAAGACACATACACATTTGCTTGACATTTTCAGACGGAAATTGGAAGAGGGATGATATTGCCTCACTATAGGCTTAGAAAGTGCATAGAAGAGTGACTAAAGCCCTAAACAATGTCCAGCATGTAGATTCTCAAAAATATTTGCTGAATGAATTAGGGTTTCTAATCCAAAACAGCATGCAGAAAAAGAACAATCACAAAGCAATCACAAAATAGCAGAAATCCAGAGCAACTATGCACATTTAATTATGTGTATAGGAAGGCAATTAATCATACTTTTTCCTATATGAAGAAAAATATGTTAACTAAAAGCGCCAAACTCTTTTCAAGTTTTAGTTACTGATATTAATAATAAGTATCAGATATTTGCTCAGAAAACTTATTTCTCATTAATTTATTAATTTGTTTCTCATTTCTTCTTCCAACACTCATTATGAACCTGCTTTTACCTCGGTTCAGAGCTATGCACTGTGAATATAGTTTGAACTTGCTTTTCTTCCCCTTTTCTTCTAGAAGTCTCCTCACATACCTCCTCCCCACTGGTGTTAGCAGCTCCATGACACATTTTAAATTACAGAGACTTTAAAAGATGCAGTTTAAGAGGAAGTGATACTGAAACTGCTTTTAAACAACTGCCACGGAAATCCCAAAAGTACCCTTATAAAACAGAGTGATGAGGATTTGCTTTACTCTTCTCCCATTATCATCAGACTTGACCTCAGTCAATTTTTTAATTTTAGGAACTTGAAATTTATGAAAATTGAGGAGTAGTAACTAGAAGGATTTCTGTTAGATACAACCTCATAGGATGCATCAAGTTTTTAGAACTCTGTAGAGACAATTTCTACTTTAGTTGAGGACGTAATGGCCTTAAGTCCCTTCTGGCCCCGGGGTCCTTACCCTCCATTGTTCTTCCAATCCCATCTTCCTCCAATTCATCCTTATTCAGACATCTTGGGTTTTACGTGAAGAAAGAATGGAGAAGACTGGAGGGAGAGAGAAGTTGGTAAAGGAGGGGAGGATACATGTATGTACATGTGGCTTTGAGAGTGGTGTGAGGATGCTTAGGGGAGTTTCTAATCAGGATTGTCCAATAGAACTTTCTGCAATGTTAGAAATGTTCTACAGCTGCATTTCCAATAAGGACACTCTTAGTCCTTTGTGGCTGTTGGGCACTTGGAATGTGTGATGGAGGAAGTACCTTTTAAATTTTATCTAATTTAAATTTAAATAGCCACATGGTAACTATCATATTGAACAGTATGATTCTAAATATATTGTTATGTACTTCAAACTGAGGAAGAGACAGAATAGAATCAATGGAAAGAGACAGAGTTACTACTTCTCAATTTTTCAGACCCCAAACTACAGATCCTATCTCCATGGGAAGTAGAATGTAAGTCATGGGTTTGCACAACCTTAAAGGGGTAGAAACAACAAGTGAAATAATAAAAATGCTGTGTGAAAGAAGCTGAGTAGATGAAATTGATTGCAGCTTAGAAAGCAATCCCATCATATACTCACTGTGCATACTCAAGTCTACCAAGGCTTAGAAATAATCCTCACGAAGTTCTGAACACAAGGAACTGGGGAGAGGAAGTAACTGGGCTTTTGCTGCCTCAGGGCTACATTGCATCCAGGGTGCTGTCCCGAAGAGCCTGCTTCATTCTAAAGATGGACCATAAAGCCATCCCTGCTCTGGACCAACTCCAACGGTACATCTATGAGAAACAGGTAATTCCGAGGTACCCTTGAGTATTCTCAGTTCTTGAACTAGGCAACACTAGTGCCCATGGAGAAATGAAGAGGGCGAGTGAGAAGATCATAATACATACCTTACCATATATAAGGTACTCAATTTATTAAAGTGTTTTCATTTTTATTTATTATTATTTAAGGGAAGGTGTATGTCTCAATTGATTTTCACCATACTGTACAGTCTTAACTAAAACTTTTAATAAATTCCAGTGCCCTTATAGAAAGGACTGATCAACCTCTCTTTCTAGAGCGGAGCTCTAAGAAATAGTGATTATCAGGAAAATGAGTGAAGTTCTAATATTTAATGACACAAAGATGCAAAGAAACATTGCAGTATGATGAGAATATACAATCACTGCACCGAGAGTAGAGACCTAGGGTTAAGTATCCCTCCGTAACTTCTCATCTGTGCCACCTTTGGCCTGGGACTTAACCTTTTCTAGATTTCATTGCCAGCAGCACTAAAATAACACTGGGAATAACAAGGCTTCTCTTCAGACAGAGTGGTCTGAAAGAGATGATGTCTTGAGATCCCTAACTGCCTTCTGTTTAATAATCTGAAAGAGAAAAATAATTATTTAGAATAAGGTGCACTGGATTATTTATTTATTTTGTGCTGCCCTTCTCTGTTATACTAATCTAGGCTCTGAACACCATGTTCTCTAACAAATACACCTGGGTCAAGTACAACCCTCTGGAGTCTCTGATAAAAAATGTGGATTGGTTCCTGTTTGGATCTCCCATTGAGAAACTCTGCAAACATATCCCCTTGTATAAGGGAGAAGTAGTTGAAAAAGATCGTGAGTATTATAAATCATTCATTCACCAAGTATTTTCTTAAAGCTACTATGTGCTAGGTATTCTGCTAGGTGCTATGTGAAATACAAATAAATAGAAACAAGACTCAATTCAGTTTGCTTTGGGAATTAAATACATACTATGTGTGTAAATTGTGCTAAATGTTAGGGATATAGAATGGAGTGAAACTTCCTTCAAGGAACACATGGTATAGTGGAAAAATTGACGAGTAGAAAGAGAAGATGGAATAAAGGATTCTTAGATGCCAAGTAAAAACTATTGTATTTTCTTATTCTTTCACATGTAAGAGTTTCAAGTAGGAAAATTCTTCTTAACCCTTAGATTAGCATCTTTTGGAGATGGTAAGAAGGAAGTCACTGAGAAATTCACTTAAAATTTAGAATGTAATTAGTTCAGGAAAGAGTGAATAAAGTGCACTGAAAGACAGGAGAGAAAACTCATCCAGGTAACATTTGGCACTGCTGTCCTTACTGGCATTTTAATATGTAGTTTCTAAATGTGGCAGAGTATCCAGAGTGAAAGAGGACAGGGCCAACAAAATGATGAATACAACAAAAAAAATTTCCCAAAATACTAAAAAGTAGATAAAGAATTTGCATGTATTACATTTCTATTTCCCAGAAAAAAATTTAAGTAAGCATTAGTAATGTAAGTAAAGGAATATAGGTACATCATTGCCACAGAATGTCATAGCATCACTAGGATTAAACCAACCAGCACTTCCAGGAATTGCCAGTTGTACTTAAGCTAATATATTATTAAACTTTACAGTGAAAGAATAGTCAAAATCTTGGGTAACATTAAGTTACATATACAACTCTTAGTCAAGACTTGTACAAAAAGCATTTGTTGTTGCATTCTAATAATATATTTGCTAATATTTTTTCTTTAAACATGTTTTCCCCTTCCAGATGATGTTGGTGCTGGAGGCTGTGCAAAGGTTGGGCTCTTGGGCATCCTGGGAATTTCTGTCTGTGCAGACATCCACGTTTAAGATGATCAGCCCACTGGTCTCATCTTTTCAAAGAAATACACTCTTGTTTTCCACTCAAAACCTTCTTGTTCAATGTCCCAACTAATTCTGAGATTTGGTAGTAAAACATAAATGCTGTATTTGCAGATCTCTAGTTGCTTGTTCTTTTTATAAGCAGCAAAGGAAAACCAAGCAATTTTATGTCACTGCGTAGAAGAAAAAAATTGCCAGGATTTAAATAAGTACACAATGTGTGAAAATTCCCAGATAATATAGCAGGATCATGTGCAGACTAGTCAACTGAGTTCAAGCCTCCATCTCTGCCACTGTCCTCTGGATCATGCGCCCATCTGTTTGTCCCAATGCACAGGGGTAGCACAGGTGGAATGGGACACACGTGGTTGTGACCTTGATCCAGTGAGGGAGGGATATGGTTTACAAACAAATTGATTGCTCAGGCAAATGAAACTATCCCCTCTGACAAAGCACCTAGCTTTGAGAGTCATTCTTATGCTTTTTAAGAAAATACCTTTTAACTTGCCAAAGCAGTAGACTCAACCTTAATGAACATATTGTGATATGTGTTCCCTATTTGTAGTACCTTACTAAAAATCTTAACAGAAATGAAAACCTTACTGGAAATGCCAAGTCAATGAATAGCAGAAGAGCAATTTCCAGGATTTCAAATAAATTACACATTGTGGGCAGACTCCCAGATCACATAATTGTGTCTCAGGCAGACGGTCAGTTGAACACAAGTTCAGAACAAAGAGGACCTACTTTAACAACCATTTCTACCTGCCATTGGTGGCTTCTCTTCCTAGCAGTGTATGTCTACTTCTTAACAGTCATCAGTGAATATATTTTAAGCACTTAATTTGTGCTCAGCACTGGGACAGGTGTGCCTGGGTAAGAGGCCCAAGGCAAAGATACCATAACCAAGAAAGTTGTTTTCTTTTTGGGTAAATAGAATCTTTGTATGAAAACATTTTATAGAACAGTAAAGAGAGTATCATAAAGCATCAAATGAATGGTAGAATGTGTTAGCTGAGACCTTGGTATTTGCAAGTGATGGAGCCCAAATCAAATTTGCTAAGACCAAGGGACAAATTACTGTCTTGTATAACGAACCATGGCGGAAAATGGATATTCTGGTCTTGGGTAGCTAGAACGAGGTGCATGAAGGTGGTCAGACTCTCTTCCTGTGCCTCGACTCCACCTTGCTGCTGTCAGTTTCAGCATCATACACTGGTTTTCTCCATGAAGATAGAACCATCATCAGAGAGGAAGGGACTCTTCTCAGTTCTAATTTTAAATTAGCTTTAATTTAGACATCTCTGGAGATGACTCTAATTGGCTTATGTAGGGTGGGGTGCCAGTACAGGAAAGGGTGTTATGACTGACATCCTCCTTTGGAATGAAATGCTTAGAGAAGTGTTATCTTTAATTTTTATAACATAGTTTCACTTTTTGAAAAAAACTGGGGTCTCAATCTGTCACCCAGGTTGGATGGAGTATAGTGGCACGATCACAGCTCACTGCAGCCTTGACCTCTGGGCTCAGGTGATCCTTCAGCCTTAACCTCCCAAGTAGCTGAGACTACAGGTGCACACCTCCATGCCCACCTAACTTTTTGATTTTTTGTAGATATGGGGTCTTGCTATGTTTCCCAGGCTGGTCTCGAACTTCTGGGTTCAAGCGATCCTCCCTCCTTGGTTTCCCAAGGTGCTAGGATTGCAGGCATGAACCACTGCACCTAGTCACTTTCCATTTTTAATGTAGAATTTTGCTTTTTCCTAACTTTGCTCTCTCTAAATCAGCTAACTCTCCTCTGTGCTGAATTCCTGTTAGGAGCAGCAGGTAAAGTGTGCCAGGCTCATACCTGAAAGGAATGTGTTTGAATGGAAGATACAAGGAAGCCGGAACTTGTTACATTTTCATCATAATTAGCCTTTTCTTTTCTTTAATTTTTATTATAAAGATGTGGGGTACATTTCAGGGTTAGGCATACAAATATTGATCATGCAGGTATCCTTGTTGATGAGATATGCCCTTCCCTCCCCTAGCAGTTTCCCTCAACTGCCAATCCCACCCCCCCTCCCCTGACAGTTTCCCACTACTGCCAATTGCCTTCTTATAGCTTTATAATTGCTCAAGATCCGTTTATGAGTGAGAACATATGGAACTCTTTTCTTTGTTTCTGTGATAAATCACTGAGTATGATCGACTCCAAATCCATCCAAGTTGCTGCAAAGTTCATATATTTGTCCTTCTTTATGGCTGCATAATATTCCATTGTGCATATGTACCACAGTTTTTAAAGCTAGTCCAGCTTCGAAGGGCAGCACAGTTGGTTCCAAACAAAGCCCTCCAACAAATCCACTGGGGAGAGTAGAACCTATTTAGTAAATGGTGCTGGGAAAACTGGCTGACCACATGCAGAAGATTGAAACAGGACCCCTACCTATCACCATACACAACAGTTAACTCTAAATGGATCAAAGACCTAAACGTAAAACCTCAAACTATAAGAATCTTAGAAAACTCAGGAGACACCCTTATGAAAACTGGAACTGGAAACCAATTCCTATTCAGAACCCTAAAGGCCAATACCTTAAGAAATAAGATAGATAGCTGGGGCCTCATCAAATTAGCTTTTTCTTAAAAGCTGAAGAAAGTAGATATCAACTCAGTTAACTCACTAGGTGCTCAAACCTAGACTTTCTCTGGGTCATCAGGGAGGTGAAACAAACCTGGACTGAACACAGCAAAGCATCTAGGATGCTAGAAGGGCAGGTTAGGCTATAAAAGCTGGCCTGAAAGAGCAGCCTGATCCAGGATGTGAGTGTGCCACAGGGGCTTTTGCAGGAAGCTTAGTGAGGGTTGTAGATGGGATTCTTATTTCCTATAGTTTTGTGCCTCAATATATAGTTTTTTTCCTCACAGTAAATGACACATCACATAGTTTCATCTGAGATAGAACCAAATACAATTTGTTCACTCCGAGCTCCTATCTGCTTCAATAACTGACTCTGAATGAATTCAAGCATTTGTTAATTTAAGCATAATAAACTTGAATTGGTGAACTAGAAAAATACGGAAACTTCTAGCTTCCAATAATACTGAAGTACTAGCATCAGACTAACTCTTCTGTCATAACAATTATAAACCTGGCAAAATATTAAAATTAGCCATTTGAAGACACTGAAGTGACCCTAAGCAGGTAGAAACTAAAGAAGACCGGTCTTTGAAAGAACTGCTCACTCATCTATTGCTAATCAGAGTTGTCTGATATTCTATGGCAAAAAGAGTTTACCCAATCTCTATTTTTCACCTCATTTCTTCCTGCTAATAGAAACCTGATTGGGTTAAGTAGCAACTTAAAAGCCCCTTAATTTTAGGGAATATATTCCTTTAGATCCAGGGGTTGAATCATGATTGATCTGAATCAGTGGTTTGCAACCGAGACGTGATTTTTCCTCCCTCCCCTGGAGACATTTGGTGAAGTTTAGAGACACTTTTCATTTCCACAACTACAGGGTATGCTACTGGGATTTGGTGGTGAGGCACCAGAGATGCTGTTAAACATCCTGTGATGTACAAGACAACCCTTCACAACAAAGAATGTTCTGGCCCTAAATGTCAATAATGCCAATGGGCAAATTAATCTTGTTTCTCTAAAAATTAAAAAAAATTAAAAGGTAATATCATTTTTCTCAGCCTGTGATTGGTCTGCAGGTGGCCATAGGACTTCAATTCCTGCCAGTAAGATTTAAATGGAAGCTTGCTAGGTGAGGCTTCTGGCAAAGTTTTTTCTTTCCTGATAAAGAGGGACAGACTCAGCTAGCAGGCAGCTCTGCTTCTTTGCCTTCTTATCATCCTTCAATGAAGATACGAAGCCAACATCAGGAGATGCATCAGCCATTTGGGACCGTGAGACAGCAACAATCTTAAAGAAAGAAGGACTAGGAAAGAAAGAATTAGACTACCCAATTGCATCATTCCAGAGCTGTACCAGCTGAAATGATCTTCCTCTGGACTCACATGATCCAGATCAATCTCTGTCTGCTCAGTGCCACTGCACTGAGGTCTTTGTATTGGCAGTTGCAAACATTCCTTATAGATAACCTGAATAAAGCTGGAGGTATCCCAGTGGGTACACATGCCCCAGGACCTGGCACACCTCAGCACTATTACCTCTACTTATTTCACCTCTAAAGCCCCCTTGAAAATTACAGGCTCAGAGGGACTTGATGCGTGCTGAGTTCCAGGCGCCCCATCCCTGTCCTGATCCAGTTGTGGGACAAAGCGTGTGGCCAGAAGGGAGGAGAAAGAACTCCAAGAGTTCAGTGGTTGACAAGTCTGCTGACCCCTGCTATAAACAGAATAAAGGTGAACACATTCCTTCTCAGTCAGCACAGGCAGGCAGCTGTATCAGCTGTCCATTAAAAGAAGAAAATGAAAATAAAAGAAAAACCCAAGTTCACAAAGATGGAGATGGCATGGGGGACTTGTGAGATTCTCTGAACACGAGTTCCCAAAAAGACTCTTACATTTCTTCCCCCATCCCCCAGCCCACCACCAGCCACGCTGGTCCAAGGCCCAGGGACCTTCGATCCCACGCAGGGCCAGATATTGCGGCCTCCTGCTGCTGCTGTTCCACCATACATGACTCCCACCTGTGTGAGATTCTCGGGTCTCAGCTCCTCCCTGGCTACATCGTCTCTCGCTCAGCACCCAGCACCAAGCCACCGGTCACTCAGGGAGGCTCTGGGCACCCGCCCCTCAGAGACACTGGTCTCATTCCTGGCTGAAGTACTCTGTGGGGAGCCCAGGGCCACTCTCGTCACTCAACGCCTGCCCGTTGGAACTTTGGAGCTCTGGAGCTCTGGGCCCACCCTGGCTGAGGCACTCAGCATGTGACCCCAAGCTTGGGGACCCAGACAAGCAGAGAGAAACAGATCTAGGAAAGAGAATCTGCTTCTGCCATTCTTCAGGTAGAGATTTCCATTGCCCTGCCCACCTATCAACAACCCCCACCTCGGTTCCTAAGGTAATGTCGCTAAACAGGAGACAAAGCCCCACCCCTACGATGAACCAGACAAAAGCAACTCCCAGGCAGCAGGCTAAAAAAAAAAAACAA